TCTGTTCTGTTCCTAGATCTCTTTATGCCACTTATATTTTGCTGTCGTTAACTACACAATTGAATTAAATATTATATAAACTAAAAAATTAATAATTTTAATATTTCTCATCAAAACATTTTCTAACTACTCCTATCCGGGTTGCAGGGTTGCAGTAGCAGCACAGCATTAGAATTATTGGGTGGCAGCCTGTGTTCTCCATGTGCTGTGGTCTGCTCTGAGCACTTCACATGGATTGACTGATTGAACCCTTACAACACCTGTGAACCCAGGTTACTTTATTACCCCATTTACAAATAAGGAACAATAAGAGAACATATAAGTAAGGGACAGAACAAGAATTGGAATCCAGGTCATCAGGTTCTAGAACCACTACTCCTGACCTCTACACTTGGTATCCTCTGGGGTGTATTTCTGCTTCATTGAACTGCCCATTCATCTTCCTGAAACCAAGATGACCTGGCTATCAACTCTTCTTCTCCCTCTTTTGAGAATTTTATAACTGCAAATCCCACTTAACAGCTTTGCTTTCTAAGTGTTCTGTATTCTCTACATCCAGCCTTCTTCCAAGGGGCTGCCTTTCCTGGTTTTCATAAGTTCATTCTCTTCCTGGTCATGTCACTTTAAAGAACTCATCCATTCTGAGACCACACAATGCTCATAACTGGTTCCTTTGCCTTTTGTACCCTTGTGCCATCCAGCTCCCATTTTACCAGTCTGTAGATCATTTCCACAGGAGTGCCCACTTACCCTGTTCTTTGTATGTAAAAAACTAAGGTCATCATTATTTGTCCTTGCTGTTCCTCACGCCTTGCTTGCTTTCCTCCCTCCTCCTCCTCCCTCCTCCTCCTCATCCTCCTTTTGTGTATGTGTGTGTGTTTTAATATACATACTAGAGATTGAATCCAGGGGTACTTAACCAAAAATTTTTATAGAGTCTTGCCAGATTGCCTAGACTGACCTCAAACTTGAAATCCTGCCTCAGTCTTCCAAGGAGCTGGGATTATAGGCGTGCACCGCAGCACTCAGCTTCACCTTGTATTTCATCCCAGACCATTGCCTGTGTGTGTCCATTTAGAGTCTCCCTCTTCTACCACTCTGATTGTTCTTCCCACATATGCTGGGTTTTTTTTTTCTTTCTATAGAAATGGCTTTCTCCCCACTTTTCACTGACATCTCCTAAAATCACGTCCAGTTTAGCTCATGCCTGTGTGCCTTTAAGTCAGGGGTTCTTAATTGCTTTTGTGCCATGGACTTCTTAAGCAGTGTTGAATACCCATTTTTTACACATAAAAATAAAATTCATAAGATTAGGAAAGAAACAGATTACTAAAATACAGTATCCTTAGTGCACTTTGCTATTTATAGTTAGCTAGCCTGTCAGGATAAACTCTGATAACTTCTGTATGCATGTTTGTCAGACTCTGACATGTTAATTGTTTAGGCATTTTGCTAAAATAATTTCTAGGGCTAGGGTTGTGGCTCAGTGGTAGAGTGCTCACCTTGCATATGTGAAGCCCTGGGTTTGATCCTTAGTACCACATAAAAATAAATAAAGGTATCATGTCCATCTACAACTAAAAAAATTTTTTTAAATAATAATAAATTCTGATTCGGCAGATCTGGGGTAAGGTCTGAGATAGGCATATCTAGCAAGCTCCCAAATAAGGCCAAAGGTGCCCCTTAAAGACCCTTGTGTTGAATGGCAAGATTCTGTACAACATTTAACTGCATTTCTATAGCAGGGTTCAGAAAACCATGGCCTACAGATCAGCCATCTATTTTTGTGAATAAAGTTTTATTGAAACACAGAGTCATATGTTTACATATTGTTTGTATTTTTCTGCTACAATGGGAGAATTGACTAATTGTGACAAAGACCCTATGGTCCACAAAGCCTAAAATGTTCACTGTCTGGCTCTTAAAGAACAAGATTGCCACCAATATATTTATAACACAGCTACTCAGGAGGTTGAGGCAGGAGGATTACAAGGTCAAGGCCAGCCTGGGCAACTTATGGAGACATTGTCTCAACAAAGTAAAAGACAAAAAGGGATGAGGATATAGCTCAGTGGTAGAGTGTAACAGGTTTAATCCCCAGTACAGCAGAAAACAAACAAGCAAAACAAAACAAAAGCCCTCATTGCCAACCCCTGCTGTGCATCATCCCACCTTCTTTGGAATTATTTCTCTGCATGTACTCCCCTCTATTTGTGCTAGTGTTCCCAATCTTCACCACTCCTAGAACTCTTCTCCCTTGTATTGTGTTCTTCAGTTATCATACATTCTCTCTCTTCAAGTACTGTGAATCCTTTAAATTTTGAGGGCATTTCTAAAGTTTTATTCCAGATCATAATAAGTACAGACATTTATAAGGGATGATTCACTTGTACTTTCTACAGAAGACTTCTGGTCAGTTAATATCCAGAGGAATAGACGGCAAGATGTGCTTTTGGGGCAAGGTGCATTCATCAGCAAGAAAACACTGCCCACAGGAAAACCCCATGAATGTAATAAGTTTGAGAAAATACCACTTTTGAGCACTGATCTTTTTTCTTCAATTCAAAACCCTAATAACTGGGATTCTTGTGGAAAGAGTTTGAACCATAATTTAGACTTGATTTGTTGTAAGAAAAACTATGCAAAAAAGCAAGATGGATGTTATGGATATGAGAAATTGGTACAGCGTACAGACCATGATAGAAGATCTAATGGAGAAAAGCCCTGGGGTTGCCGTCTGTGTGAGAAAGCTCTCAGCTGTAATCCAGCAGTTATGTATAAACCAGCAACAACCAATTCTCTTATGTACAGACCAAAGAGGGTTCCACCTACAGAGAAACCCCATGTCTGCAGTGAGTGTGGGAAAGCCTTCTGCTACAAGTCTGAATTCATTAGGCATCAGAGAAGTCACACGGGGGAGAAGCCTTATGGATGCACTGACTGTGGGAAAGCCTTTTCACATAAGTCAACACTTATTAAGCATCAGAGAATTCACACTGGGGTAAGACCCTTTGAATGCTTTTTTTGTGGTAAAGCCTTTACCCAGAAGTCACATCGCACAGAACATCAGAGAACACATACAGGAGAGAGACCCTTTGTGTGCAGTGAATGTGGCAAGTCATTTGGTGAGAAATCATATCTCAATGTACATCGAAAAATGCACACAGGGGAAAGACCCTATCGTTGCAGAGAATGTGGAAAATGTTTCAGCCAGAAGTCATGCCTCAATAAACACTGGAGGACTCACACAGGGGAAAAACCTTATGGTTGTAATGAATGTGGCAAAGCTTTCTATCAGAAGCCAAACCTCAGTAGACATCAGAAAATTCATGCTAGGAAGAATGCCTATAGGAATGAAAATTTAATAATTGTGGGAAAGCCTTGAGCAAGACACAGAGCTTCATTGGGTTTGGAGGAATTCAACTGTAGGAGAAATTTACCAATTTAATGAATTTGGACAAAAAGAGTTTTATTACAAGGGAAACCATGCTCCAATTTGATAATGAACATATAGAAAAGGTTAGAGAAAATACTTTATGATATTTACACATGGTTACTCTGGCAGAGAAAAGTTTAAGGATTTATTAGATAGAATGCAAGCAGAACACAAATGTATGCAAAGAGACTTAGAAGTATATATGGTATATTCCTCAGCGAGCTGCATAATAACTATTTGTATTTTAGCATTGTAAATGTGAATTTAATATAAATCATGAGTGTCAAACCCTATGTCACAGTCTATTAGAGTGCCATTTACCAAACTTTTCCACTTTAAATATTGCCAGTATCTTTTATTGTGTTAACAATTTAAAAATAATAACACTACAGCCCAGCTATTTTGAGAACTCTTAATATATTACACCAGCTGCATTTTCTCTGCCTTGTTTGTAATAAATATAAATGGCAAAGCAGTTGTTGTTGACCCCTTTTCTGAATAATAAAGCAATGTTTTTAATGTATTTTGATGCCAATGAAAAAGTGTGATTGTTTATGTTGAAAATGAAAGCTAAGGAATAGTTTACCTTCCTGACATTGTATAAACAAAACACTTGTAAGTTCATTACTCAGTACAATATTTGACCAAAACAAGTGTTGCCCTGTTATAATGGACATTTTATTTTCTTGGTACTAATTAAAAATATCTTTCAGCAACTTAGAAGAATTACTTTTTTTTTTTTGAGACAGGGTCTTGCTAAATTGCTGAGTTTGACCTCCTGCTTAAGCCTCCAGAGTTGCTTGGATTGCAGGCATGTGCCACCACACCTAGCATAAGAGACACCTTTTGTACAGGTCTTAGAATTCAGAAATATTTTACACAGAAATCAATTGAGTGGAATTTCTTTTTTATTGCAAATTGATGCAGCATCCACCTTTCTTCCCCCATACCTTTCCTTGTGATTGTCCTGGACATGTACTCCAAGTTTTCCATCATTCCAGTGTTTTAAAAACATCTGCTTCTTTGAGTTGCCATGTTGTCTTTATAAGAAAAGAAATGGACTTGAAATCCATACTTTTCAAGATTTGCCTCCCTGTATGATTGCCTGATCTGAATAAAAAGAGATATAACCACAGATATAGACATGATTAAAAGAGTAATAAAAAGATTCTTGTATAACTCTAAATAAAAATGTTTTTAAAATAAAGGAAATGGATCCTCTCTAGCAAACTATATGTTATATAAATTGCAATATGAAATAGAAACTTGTAGCTAGGCATGGGTACACACCTGTAATCCCAGCAATTGGGAGGCTGAAGCAAAAGGATCGAGAGTTCAAAGCCAGCCTCAGCAACTTAATGAGGCCCTGTCTCTAAATAAATAAAATGGGCTAGGGATTTGGGTCAGTGATTAAGCACCCCTGGTTCAATCCCTGGTGCCAAAGAAAGAAAGAAAGAAACAAAGAAAGAAAGAAAAAAGGAATAGAAAACTTGATATAACAAGTACCATTGAAGAATTTGGTAATGTGATTAAGGACTTATAATCGAAGACTGCTTCAGGCCCAAATAACTTCTTGATTAATTCTGTCCACTCTTCTAAAGAAAGCATTACCAGTGTTTTTACAATAATTCAATCCATAGATGATTGTATAATCTAGTTTATTTTATGAAGTCCATATAATTGGAAAAGAGAAAACTCCTTATTGGTTTTACTCATGAATATAGAAATAATAAAATTACAGCAAATAGAATTCAGCTATAATATACCTAAAGAATGATATAATATGATGACCTTGTAAGAGTTATCCCAAGAATGTAGAGCCATTTCAGTACTGGGAAATATATCAATAAGGTTAATAAAGAGAAGACTCTTAACTATCAATAGATGATAAAAGGCATTTAAGGGGCTGGGTTGTAGCTCAGTGGTAGAGCACTTGCCTTGCATATGAGGTTTGATCCTCAGTGCCATATAAACATAAATAAACAAAATAAAGGTATTATGTCCATCTACAACTAAAAAAATTCTAAAAAAGGCATTTAATCTTATATTCTATAAATTAAATTGTAATCAAAAGTAACCACTTAAAAGGATTTCTTTAACAAAGTCTCATAGTATATGTTAAGCTGAAGTCATATTTTTAAAATCAGTAGTTTAATGTTGTCTTGGAGATTCCAGTGATGGCAATAGAAAAGAAAAATATTTAATATAAACAATAGAAAAGGTAAAGCTATCCCTGATTGCTGATGATATGGTTGGATACCAATAATTAAAGAGATTTTATTTGTTTTAATTAAGGTAATTTTCTAAGAATGTAGGATGACAGAAATTAAGAGCTGCTCTGTCTACTAACAATATAACACCTATTAACTATATGTTCTTTTAGAATTGCCTTAAATGATTTTTTACTTATGTGTGAAATGATCTTAAATTTAATATGAAAAATAAAAGCCTGAGAATCTAGAGAACAACCATATGAAAAAAGAATATGGCACCCCAGTTACCAGAAGCCAACATGAAATCATGCTAATGAAATTACTATACTATTGGCAAGGGAACAGATAAATAAAATATATCCATAGAACAGAATAGAAAATTTAGTAGACCTTGGTGTATATGAGTTTTCATGTATAGAAAACATATATTCTCAAATCACAGCAGGGGAAACTAGTTTTTTAAAAAGAATTATGGCATGATTGGCTTTTAATTTAGAAAAATAAAAAGTTGAATCAATAGCAACAAATAATATCCAAAAGCAAATTCCAGGTGGGTTTAGATTTAATATTTTTAAAAAATTCTTAAAATAAGTCAGAGACCACACAATCTAGCAGTTCAGAAAGACTAATTTTACCAACATAGGACACTTTAAAGCCATTAAAAAAAGGCTGGGGTGGTGGCTCAGTGGTAGAGTGCTTATGTGAGGTGCTGGGTTCAATTCTCCAGCACTGCATTTAATTAAATAAATAGTAAAGATGTGGCCTACAAAATCAATAGGTAATTAATTGGGGGAAATATTTTCAGAGGTAATTAGGGAGAAAGGATTTTTCAAATTGATATGGCCAAGAATATTAAATACACTTGTGAGAATAGTAGCTAATGAACTATCAAAAAATGCTTGCTTTGGGACTTGGGTTGTGGCTCAGCACTAGAGTCCTTGCCTAGCACATGCAAGGCACTGGGTTCGATCCTCAGCACTACATAAAAATAAATAAATTAAAATAAAAACAACTAAAAGATTTTTAAAAATGTTTAGCTTCAATCATTTTTAGGAAATATATGTTAAAGTTGGAATGAGATAATACTATTCAAGATTGCTTTTGGCTTTCAGAACAAAGATTGTTCTTAATATAGTATTTTTTGAAACCTAAATTTCAAAAAGCAATTCAAATTGCTTTTTTGAAAAACAATATGGTAATATCTTCTAAAACTTAAAATACTTTTGTCAATTTGGAGAATCTTCTTAGAAGTAAAAGTCCCATCCAGGTGCAGTGGTGTCTATAATCCCAGTGACTTGGGAGGGAGGCAGGAGGCTCTCAAGTTCAAGGTGACCTTGTCTCAAAATAAAAACATTAAAAGGGCCAGGAGTGGCTAGTGGTTAAGCACTCCTAGGTTCATTTCCCAGTACAAACAAACAAACAAACAAACAAATACACACACACACACACACACACGCTCCAATACACAAACAATAGTGAACATTTATTTTAAAATTGTTCCTCATGACAAAAAAAATCACTAGGGTCAATATAAATGCCTATTGGTGGAGAAATTGGGTGAAGGAATATCCATCCCATAGAATGTTTATGCAAGCAGTAAAGTGGACAAATTAAAACTATGCTAGTGGACTTGAATGGAATTACACAATGTTCAGTTAAAAAAAAAAAGCTGGATAGATACAGAGTATATAAAATATGACCCTTTTGTAAATGAATAAAAAAATGTCTCTAGTTGTTTTTAAAGGATAAACATGTATCCATGTATGTTTATGTACGATTTTATATGCATGGAAAAAATTATGGAAGACTGCATTGGTTATGGGGTGGGTAATGCACGCAGCTTATGGCGAATCAGGAGGAGAAGGAGGAGGGGGAAAAGGGACACAAAAGGGAAACCATGTAAATGACCAAACCAAGTATATCTCAAATGTGTGAATAAGTAAAGAAATTTGGGTATAGGAATAGGGAAAGGGAGCTAGAACTCTCATATGTAGAGATGTTTATGGTATATTGTTAAGTGAACTGGACAAACTGCATAGTGTATGAGATTCTATTTTTATAGTAAAAATCTGAGTGGGGATGTAGCTCAGTGGTAGAGTGTTTGCCTAGCATGTGCAAGACCCTGGGTTTGATCCCCAGCACTGTCAAAAATAAATAAAAAATAACCTCCCCTATATGTATATATGCATGTTTATGTTTACATGAACAAGGATTTGTGAAAGGATAGACAACCAAGTTGTTAGCATTGGTTACCTTGGTGGAGAAGGGGAATATAAGTACTTATTTCATTGTATATCTTTGTTTTATATTAATTGTTAACATATATTGCATTTGTAATTTGAAAAACAAAATAAAGAGGAAAGACATTTCTAAATACATGAAGCATTGAAAATGTTTCTATTTTCTGACAAGATGGCACATTGGCATAATCTATTCCCTTTCCTCATACTCAATCCTGGGGACATCATGAGGATAAAAGGAAAGGTGCAGATCTGAAGAGCAAAAGAAAGGCTTTGAGAAACCCCCAAGTAATGTCTTTTTTTTTTTATTTATTTTTAGGAATGGGGTTGTAGTGCAGTAGTAGAGCACTTGCCTAGCATGTGTGAGACACTGGGTTCGATTCTCAGCACTGCATATAAATAAATGCCCATTGATGACTAAAAAGATTAAAATATTATTTTAAAATAATTTGACTTTTATAAAAACATTACAAAATAATTCTTATAATCTGGGCACAGTGGCACATGCCTATGATCCCAATAACTCAGGAGGCTAAGACAGGAGGATTGCAAGTTCAAAGCCAGCCTCAGCAACTTAGTGAGGCCGTCTCAAAATAAAAAATAAAAAGGTCAGAGGATGTGGATCAGTGTTAATTACCCCTGGGTTCAATGCTTGGCACCAAATAAAACAAAACAATTCTTAGTTTTTACCCAGTTTCTTCTATATTAACATATAGCCACAGTTTAATTTCTGAAAAAGGAAATTAACATTAATATAATAATCATAATTAACCTTTAGTCCTTACTTAAATTCAAATGTTGTCTTGTTCGACACCCAGTCTAGGGTCCCACATTACTTACTACTTCTCTTTATTCTTCTCCAACATGTAACTGTTCCTCAGTATTGTCTTGTCTCATAACTTAGATATTTTTTGAAGAATACTGGCCAATTATTTTGTGGCATCTTTCTCAATGTGAGTTTATTATATTAAGGTTATACATTATATACCACATTAATAGTCGTCTTTTTGTTGCTATGACCAAAATACTTAATAAGAACAACTTAAGAATATGAGTTTATTTTGGCTTACCATTTCTCGGTTGCAATCAATAGTCAGTTGCTCCATTGCTCTGAGCCAGAGGTGAGGCAGAACATCAAGGCAGAAAGGAATGGCAGAGGATGGCTGCTCAGCTCATGGTAGCCAGGAAGGAGAGAGATGGAGGCATCAGGGATAAAATATAAACCCCAAAAGGCATTTCCTTCAGCCATGCCCCACCTGCCAAAAACCAACCTGTGCAGAAGTCCTTTCAGATTATTAATTCATCAATAGTTTAATCCACCAATTAGGCTACAGCTGTCATAATATAATCATTTCACCTCTAATCATTGCCACAGTGTCTCCTTAGCTTTTTGTAGGATACCTCATATTCAAATCATAATACCACAGAAGTGATACATCCTCAGTGCATCACATCCCACCTCTTCCCCAGCTTTATTAAGGTATAATTGACAAATCATATACAGTGAACAGTGTTTTGAAATGTGTATACATTGTGACATAATAAATCATGTTTATTAATATATCCATCACCTCATCTTGTGTGGTGAGCACAATCAAGATCTAATCTATTAGCAGTTTCTAAGTATACATTAACTCTAGTCACCACACTGTCTGACAGATCTCCAGAACTTATTCATCCTAACTGAAACTTGTCCCCTTTAACCAACATCTCTTTCCCCACCCTCCAGCCTCTGAATCACCATTATACTCTACTTCTGTGAGTAATTTCCGTTTTCAGACTACCAGTCAGCTGAGATCAGTGGGGATCATCTTAGACCCTACTACCTTCTCAGGGAAACATGTATCTGCTGGGCTTCATGACTGTATATTCAGACACACTTGGTGCAAATTTTCCACTAAATAGAATTAATATATTCATTTATACATAAATACATAGTGAGTGCTTTTTTATGATTGAGGCACTCTTTTAGGATCTGGAGAGTAGAAAACAGAAGGGAAACATTAATTATTAAGACCAAAAAATAAGCTGGGCATGGTGGCGCACGTCTAATTCCAGAGGCTCAGGAGGCTGAGGCAGGAGATCATGAGTTCAAAGCCAGCCTCAGCAATAGTGAGGTACTAAGCAATTCAGTGAGACCGTGTCTCTAAATAAAATTTTTAAAAAAAAGGAAGAAGGAAAAAGAACTGGGGATGTGATTCAGTGGTTGAGTTCAATCTCTAGTACCAAAAAAAAAAAAAGGCAAAAAAATAAATAAGACAAGAGAATATTAAATAATAGGGGAATGAGATTTTATATAGAGTAACCAGGAAAGTCTTCAAATGTGACCTTTGCATATAGACCTGATGGAAGTGAGGGATCTAATAATGCAACTGTTTGGAGGAAAATTGTTCCAGGCTGAGGGAACAGCAAATGCTAAGACAGGGAATGTGCCTGGAATGTTGGAGACCACATCAAGGGAGATGTATTCCTACTGAATCAAGAAATTATCCCAGAGCTGGGGTTGTGGTTCAGTGGTAGCGCTTGCCTAGCATGTGTGAGGCACAATCTTCAGCACCACATAAAAATAAATGAATAAAATAAAGGTATTATGTCCATCTATAACTAAAAAAGTTTAAAAAAAATTATTCCAAAACATTATCAATGTTCTTTCCAAACTCCAGCACATGGAAGACCCAATGCTAGAAACCTGCCTCATGCCCAGTCCATGGCTTTTCTGGTTTCTGCCCCCCACAGAGGAATCAGCCTTTCCAGCACTTCTTTGAAAACAGTGGCTCCCAATCCACCAAGACTGGTTGCATGGTGCCACTCTTTTTTTATAAATGCCACCATGTTGATTGAGAGAATAGCAACAGACAGCTGTTTCCTGAATCAGTGGCAAGTTTTCTACAAAATAATGAATAGCTTTTCTAAATTTTTCATCATGAATTCTCTGATATAAACCATGGTATATAGCATTGTTAAAATCCTTTCCACAAACAATAATAGCAATAAAAGCTACTAATATCAGTATTGGATAA